AGCACGTGTTGCGGGCCGCTTCTCGAGGCACATTAATCGATCTTTGTACCATGAACAGAAAAGATTCGAAATGGAGTCAGAGAAGTTACAGCTATTGGTCGAACCTCCATTGCACTGAGATACTGGAGATAAGTGTCGTATAAACTGTGCAACTTAAATAAAGAGACAATCAGGTTGAAGTAGATTGGAATGTGTCAGCATGTGTGCCGTTCAATAAGCACTGACCAATACTGAAAATGGTATGACTTTAGGCGACTTTGTGCGCGTCAACGCTTGCCCCAAGCGTTGCGTATCCGTCAAATTCGCTCCCGGGACGATTTTGACGGCCTGACGCAACGCGCACGTGTGTTACATTAATGTTGATCATTTTTGTGTCCGTGAGAGTGAAATGCATGGATGCATCATGTACGCACATCACCCAAAAACGTACTTAATGGAAAGGCGCTTTTAGTTCGAGGGATTGTACTCGATTTTTGTTAACATTAAAATTAATTATATGGCATAATTATGTAAAATCAAAACTTACGACACCTAAGTAGATCCTTGTCATTTAATTGGAGGATTGTAGGTCCCTTGATATTTATAATAAATTTCATGGCTTACGTCATAAATGTTGAAATTTGTTATATACACCGTGCATTTTTGGTTAAATGCAGGTTGATCTATTACACGCAAAAGAACTTCAATAAGTAAGTGATCAACAGAGGGCGCAGAGGGCGCGTGTTTGTTCATTATCACTAAAATGGCGGCGGGTTCAAGCAATTTCGTGTTGCTGAATGACGATGAAATTGCTGAATTACTTGACGGAGCGGACGCAAAGAATACGAAGAAACAAATTCAGTATGCTGTACATGGACTAGAATCGTACGCTAGGTGCGCTGGTATGAGTTTAGACGAGGTAGTACAGCGATCCATAGCAGAACTTGACCAGTTCCTGTCGCGTTTTTACGGTGGTTTACGAAGAGACAACGACACATTGTACACTAAAAAGTCAATGCATGCAATTCGGTATGGGCTGCATCGTCAATTTCTAACATCCGGGGATGTGGATAAAACCAGCTAGTGGTACCTTCAAGGAGAGCAACAAGGTCTACAAAGCCTCGAGGGTTAAGCTGAAGAATGAAGGAAAGTGAGTTGTCCGGCATAAGAAAGCAGTGAGTGAAGAAGATGTAGCAAAGATCTTAGATCCAATGGATATTACAACACCGGATATAACAACAGCCTTCAGAATAAGGTGTTTATTGACATCATGTTATATTTCGCAGAGGCAGAGAAAATGAACGCGTTATGAAGGCTTCTGACTTTGTTGTGGAAGTTGATGAGCAAAATCTCCGTTACATTGTTCATCGTGATACCCTCACCAAGTCTAGACGTGAAAATGAAGATGAAGGCGCCAGTGGTCATAATTATGTATGAGATACCAGGGTCTAGCAGATGTCAAGTTACAACATTTCTGGCTTTCAAAGATGTCCTCAACCCTGCATAAGAATGTATGTTGGCGAGGTCCTAAACCCACTGCACCTTTAGGAGTCAGTACCTTTGAAAATAAGATAAAAAAAGATCTCCGAGAATGCTGGTTCCTCCAAGAAGTACACTAATCACAGTTTGAGAGCGACAACTTGCACCTTGCTCGATGCGTTTGTACATGGTGCCTTGTGGGGTACCGGAACAATAGAAGGTACCCCACAAGGCCCGTTTTGATCCTTGTGGGGTACTAAAGTGGTACCCCACAAGAATTTCACAAAATAGATATTTCAAATTTACTTAAAAAGGAGGAATTTTCAAGTGTCATTCATCCTTTTATATAAGGGACATACGGTTGAAATTTCAACCCAGGAAACTGAATTTGGTTAAAATGGCAGTGATTTGAAATTTTGTCCATGTTGTGTGGGAGCTTTGTACATGAGAACAAAGGAAATACCCTACAAGTATGCATATGTACGAGTATGTGAAGCTAGGTTCCCCAACCGTCACACCGTGTCTGTCACTGGACACCGATCCGAGTCATCATTGAAGCACTACTCAAGGACCAGCGATAAGAAGAAAAGGCTGACGGCTGCAGCAATTGCCAATCAAGAGAATGTTCAAGAGCCAGAGGTAGGCCTACAACCCAACGAAGAGCATAAAGAGGAACAACCCAATTATGATGACCACGTCTTGGATAATCTCCCAGACAGTCTTCCGACCAATTCTCAAGAGCAACTCATCTTGAAAGAATCCCTCTTCAACATCCAAAATGACATGTCAACCTCTTCTGTTCAGCATTTTCACTTTCATGGCACTGTCAACTTTTTCAACAAGTAGAATAATAAGCCTACGTATACATATCGTGGGTTTTTCTGAAATATTGTCCAGTTACGAACTTGTGATGTTACAACGGATATTGTGAACACCGTTAATTTTGGAACTTTGACTTGGAGGTGAGCAGTGTATTTTGCGTCGTGTCTGAGAACTTTTGAATTATTTGGATTTGGCTTGAACAAGCTACCGTTTTAAACTTTCAACCATTGCTTTGTTGTCTTTTCGTGTTCTTGAACTTTTCAATTGGACACCAAGTTTGAAGAGGTCTATATAGGCCTAATGGACTAGGAAAAAAGCAGATGACAGAAGGTAAGTGCCTTATTTATATTCATATATTTTATAAATGTTATCCTCCAATCAAATAACAAAGATCTACTTAGATGCTAAACATGTAAAACAAATAATGAATGTTTTTCATTCGTACAACGGAAAGAATATTTTCATGAGTTGAAAGATGAAATGTTCCATTCAACGAGCCTGCTGTTACCATTGCACTCATTAACATTCATAATTTGTATATCATTTCAATTTCCAATTAACCTAGTTTAGTGTATTGATTGTTACACGCCACCAGATTTGCCCATAAGGTCCAACGTATTGAGAAAAAATTCTTCCCACTTGCTTGGCTTTGTGCTATTGGATCTCACCGCAGAAAGTGCTGCACGCACACATGAAAGCAATGCAATCATACGTTAATAACACTGAAAGAACGTATTTGTCAAGTCAAGGTAAGTTGGAGCAATTTATGCTATTATGCTGAAACTTGAGTACCAATGGATTTCGACTGATTGGGAAGTTCACAGACAAAACGCGGCAATCTAGGACTAACGACTTGTCAGCAAGTCTAGATCGATTGGGGATGTGTCTGAAGCTTTGTAATCGTGGTTTTGTGAATGGTTTGGTAAATCTTTAGACCATTCCTTGAAGATAGATTTTAGCTTTTTTTCCAGTCTTAACTCGTCAATCAGGGCGTGTGAATTGCAACCGCGCAACCAGATAGTACACGGACACGCAATCAATACACGGCACCACGACATGTGTAGTGTATACAGTGGGTTAGGTAAAAAAAAATGTCTCCGGTTTCTGGTTAGTGCACGCGTCGCCGTGGACCTGCCCGCTGGCGGAAAAAAATGTTTATTTGGTATGATATGATGTCCAAAAGCTGCCAAACTAGCTTGATCGGCGGAAATACTGCTACTGCGTAATTCTAACATGCTTGCTTTAGATGGGGTAGCCCCTGACCAGAAACCAGTGACCTTTTTTGGCCTAATAGACACTGTACACTGACGCGGTGGCCACGCCGCTGGCTTCGTGCAGTGCCGATCTACTCGCACCCAGAGGTAATTTCACGGGTCTAAACCATCGAGTCGCTTTGTAAATTTCGGTGCCTCATCAGCCTACATCACGGAATGAAAAGGTAACGAAATCGAAAAAGGGGGTCCAATTTCGGGGCAGCAAATAAACACATTAACACAAAACACGAGTTATGACAATTTTTGACTTCCCTGTTCCTTACAAATTCATGAACCTGTTTGCCATCGCGAGCAAATTGTTATTAAAAGTGACAGAAGTAAGGTTGGTTTCTAATACAGAGTGCCCCATACGGTAATACCCGACCCTCGTTAACATGATCCCTTTGTTTTTTATGCATTTATCTTTGCGGGAAGATCACAACGGGCAAGACGAAAACACAATCCCGTCTTTTTGTAGGCCACTTCTCCCGCGTATATATTCAGCGGTGTCCCATCATTTTATGTCCTGTTACAACACGTGAGCTCATGTGAATATTGTAGGGTAAATAGTACAAAGCTTTGTTTGTGTTTTGGCCTAAGGAACCCTGAGATTGAACCAAAAAGTATAAAGCCCAATGACGTCTCATTACGTCATAAATTTCGACATGTCTGTCAAGTTTTTATTCATGTAAGTCAATCAATGTCTGAGTGGACTTCATTCTGAACCTGACCTTTATTTACATTTTGACCCAAATGGGTAAAGGGCTTATCTTTGTCAAAAAAATCTGCCACATTTCATTCTCGAACTAAGCTTTCGCGTTGTTGTCATGGCTTTTTGTGCTCTCTTTGGTACCACTGCGTCTTATTTTAGATCTCCAACAGTCTCCCCCCCCCAAAAAAAAACAATATCAAACTTCAAACGTGTTTCATGAACCAACTTTGACTACAGTCAAGGGGCAAACCGATGCATATCATGAAGTTATGGCAGTGAAGAACGACGGTGGATAAGTCCTCCGGCTACTCATTTCACAGTGCAGGATGTTGATGGATATACAATGTTCATGTATATTCTGTTGTCATCTTACTTGACGCTTTTTAAGTACTGCTTATGAACCTTGGTTTCATAATCGAAGCGATTTTGACGTCGTCCCCATTCAACATTGCCGGGAAATTCACTTTATTTGGTATGTGTTCAACTTTTGCGAATTCGCAACGCGAAAGTATTTGATCTGACGTCACAGGTTTCGCACTGTATGTATACCTACCTTTTAGAAAACTCGCAGAACACCAGATAAAAAGGGAACTTCTGGTGACTGCTTCAGTTGTTAATTTTTTTATCTGTATTTAGAGTACCCGGCAACGTGGCACATAAATTTCAAGGGCTTGCTGAGAATTCCACACCAGACAACAATCATACAAACCAACCAACCAACCAACCAACAGTATTTTAATTTTGATCTTTGGCAGCATGCTCGGTAGACTGGACGTCGAGCGATCCTGGAGATTCCTCTTACATCATTTTCATTTTCGTCATGGTTCTGGTCATCCCTTTATCTCTGATTGTAGGCTCGTACACCCTACTCCTTTATGCCGTCAAAAAGGTGAGAATTCATCCTGGGGACACCCTTTTGAACATAAACCTTGTAAAAAAAATGCCTTGTTAACTTGAAATTATGTGGAGTAACGGTTATTATGCATTTGCTCATTCTCAGGTGGCGAATATAAGTAATCCATCGCCATATACAGCAATATGTTTAGATGTAAGGGTAACCCGAGGTGAACTCTGGGGCCAAGTTCTCTCGGAGTGCAGATATGTTGAAAGCATGCGGCTGAATTGATGAAGCCGCGCCTCATGGATACCATCGCTGCACAGGAATTTCAATTTACTTGAAAATGTGTGCTGATCTCTCGAAATATCCTTAAACAACGCTGACCATCTTGTAGTCAAGGGAACCTTCGATCAATTAATTTCTTGTTCAAACCTTTTTATTCGCTACAAATCTTAATTAATTGTTGATATGTGCTGTCACCTGAAGGTTCTTTTGCTGTCAAATAAATTCCATACACAGTGTGCACGGTGTGCTTCATCGCTCACCAAAAAAAATCCGGAAGCGATCCCAAGATTTGACACACGAGTGTATATAAAAGTTCCATTACATGGACGTCTTTACTGGTTAAAAAAGATTCTCTCCAAAGATAATTGTATCGTCTGAAATGAAATGAAGCGAAACGCACGTCTTTGCCTTCAGACAATATAACACTAGTTGTGGAACATCGTGAAGCGCAAATCTTCTCAAATTTCGCGCAAACACTAGGCGTCGTTGTTGTCGCGACTCACACGATATTAAAGCTGCCCGTTGGAAGAAATGAAACTGTTTCGTGTTACCCACGCTTGCCCAGGCATGTAGATGTGCGTGATTATCAATGTGACTATCAATGAAACATCGCCATCTTCGGGCCTACCAATTACTCAGCTATCTGTCTGAGATCACTCGGCCTGAAACCCGATCAGGTAAAAACAAGACAGAGCAGGGACTAATACACTACCGCATACTCTTGCCGACCGGTCCGATTTGAGCGGCCGAGGGAAGAGATCATGGAAAAACTAAGGCCAACTGTTGCCCATACAGAAATAATTATGCATGTAATCGAGTACCATTGGACTTGAGCGCTTAAGCTCAAGTCCCCTTCAGCGTGCTGACTGCTGAGCCAGCCTGGGAGAACAACCGGGCTTCGTTTTTGACTTTTTTATTTCAGAAGATGGTCTTGTAAGCTATTGTAAAAGGGTCATTTTGAAAAAAAAGGTTTCTTTATAGTTCCTCTTTAAATTTTGACGTGTAGCTTACATTACATCAAATTATCTAAATTGTTTTGTTGTTGAAGAGTCCAGTCAATCTGTCTTACTTTTGGCTATTTACCGCTCACTTTGCAATAATTTACAGAGTGCCAAATGTAATCACTGTCGCTTCATCGCGCAATTCGACTAGCCACCATAGAACATTTGAACGAGGCTTCAAAAATAGAACGCCAATGTATGTATATATATGCTAAAAGTGGCGATAATGTATTATCGTATTACATGTACATGCGATACGTGCACCGCGTTAATAAGCAGGCAAACCAACGCCAATAGCACGAATTGAAATGAGCGTGCTGGAATAAAAAAAAACTAAATGTATGCCACATCTGTCGGCAGAAATTTTCAAATATCTTTTAAAAACTGCGGTGTTTCCAAAAGGAAATAAACTTAGATAAAATGAGAAGAAGGGGTGCCATGGAAATCGCAAATCACTACTGTTACAATTCAAAAATCTCCCAACTGTCAATGATTGAATGATTGTGAATTATTAAAAAGCCAGAATTTTTTGGATGCAACAAAAACTTTAAAAAAGTCACTGATATAAAGGGCAAAGAAACGACAAATGAGAATGCTTCAAGTGTCGGCAGCGTTTGACAAAATTAAAAGATCTTACGGGCGAGGGCTTAGGTAAGGACGACGTACTCCACAGATGGCGAAAACAGTTCCTTGACGGTATAAACGTATACGCTGAGACGCAGGGCGAATTCACCTCCAACAAACAGCTGGTAAAAGGACAAAACAGCGAGAAACGCAAGCAGACTCCCATTGCGAAATAAAGGGGAATGACAACCTAAAGAGACTAAAATGTACACTCAGTTCACAAAATGTCTCTTCTAGAATAAGTTCAGCTGTCAAGCACCTCCTCGGTTAAGGCAAACTTTCTCCAAACGCTTCACAGACGAGTCGCCATCAGATCACGGGTCCTGATACAGAAAACTTGACGAAATTCCCTTCTTTTGAGCTATTACATAGAAACAATTTCAATCCTTTCATAGTCCCATAATCCTGCCCCCTTATAGGTCTTCTATATCTTCCACAAACTAATGCACTATAGAAACATCTTGCTTTCCAGAAACTTCCTGCAATTAGTTTCCAAAATATAAACTAAGAGAACGCAAGAAAATTCAGGAATACACAAGAAAGTCTAGTCATTCATAGCACCCGCCTCTCCGGGTCAGAAATGGGTCACGCACAAAAAAAAATCTCGCAGTAGGTACATGTCCCGTGCGCTGTGCGTGTGGTAAATATAAGAAAATGCCCCTTGATTTGAGCCCTATTCTCTCCACACAAGTCAGCTTGAGTGATCTCCTTTTCCACCTTAGTTTGTGCAAATGAAGGTTATCAAGCTTTTAGGTGTCGCATTACCGGCATGGTAGTACAGTGGCCTTTTGTCAACTGCGGTAGACAGATCGGGTGCCTTCGTATAAAGAGGCGAGGAAAAGCAAGGCTAAATACTACGAGTTTTACAGCCGGTTCATTCTACAGGCTGGCACGGACACCAAGCGAATTTAAATTCGTAAAAGATTTCCAGCGATATTTGCTGGAGTTGAGTAAAGCAAATTTCCAGCGAAAATATTTGATCTGACATCATGTTTCGTGTATTCTTGCGCACTGCCACACAGTGTCAGTGTAGTTTTAGCTTACCAGGGTTTTCCGTATTGGAAAAAGTTTCCCTTGTCATTTTTCCTTTGTAGGCCTATATTATAAGTTATCACAGTATTACCGAATATTTTTGCCCTTTTCAGATCGCATCCAGCGAGGCAGCGCGATCTTCCCAGCACAAAGCCGACAAGAAAGTCACCATTATGGTTGTCGTCATGATCACGTGCTTTCTGGTAGCCTGGACGCCATACAGTGCGTTTTCTCTCTACGTAACTGCCAGCAAGGATAACACTATCTCGCCAGTCGCAGCCTCGGTGCCGGCCATGTTTGCCAAAGCCTGCACCGTGTATAATCCGATCATCTACTTTCTGTTAAATCAACAGGTGCGTATGCCATTCTGTGCTATTAATGGAGGAAACTTGTGTGAAGAATCGAAGATGATTTTGTTACTCAGTGATGACGTTACAGTGTCGACGTGCCATGTAATCGTTCCCGCCTGCACAGGCGCAGTTTTTGTAAGCGTTCCACAGAAATTACGTTTCCTATTGTTCGTACAATGTAACACTCTGGCATAAATTAAGCACAGACACTTGCCACCGAGGAGAGTACACTGACCACCGAGTACAGGAAAACTTCCTTGGTTTATCTTTTGGGTTATGTATACTCCGTGGCCGGCTCTGTGATAAAGCATAACCAGTGTAAGTGCACGGCGGGCATTGTGCACAATCTGAGGCCCACGGGATCCAATGGAGTTCTTTATGGCTACGGCTTCTATCTCTGCTACAGGGCGCATAATCGAACTGCTGAAGCCGTAGAGCACTTTGACCCTTTCCGAAAGAGCCTGAAATTGTCTGAAAACCCAAGGACGTCTTCTCGTGACCGCCGTGCACATGACGCGGTTCAGGACTGGTAACAACTATGATAGTGTAAACTCTGGTCTTGCGTTTCTCTGTGCATCTTGGGGTGCTTACAAAGTCAAGCCCAAACGTTGAGGTCAGGGGCGTAAGGGGTCACGTTCTCGCGACAGCCTGTTTGTTTGTTCCATTCTTTTAAAAAGTGTGGAAAATTGTAGACAATTTTGGTTAAAATCTCCACATTTGCCGATATCTACAAATTTATATGTACACCACGTATGTTTCACTCCCATTCGACGTGTGGAAATTAAACTCTAAACGCACATTGGATCGACAGATTTCGCGCATTGCGATTGGCCAACGCGTTGCACAGTCATGGGGGCGCACTTTTGAGAATCGCCCGTATTGTATGCACACAATTCAAAGCCATCTGTAGGTCGCAGCGCTTGCATACGCGCGGTCTTGCCTTGAGGGTCACGTGCTGGAGGGAAAGAGTCAGTTAGCTTTTAAGACCATTTTTCCGCGTCTATGAGGGACCAACCTCGACTCCTTCCACTTATGTGAAGACTGGATAACAGATGCCCATGCACCAGCTAATCATTTAAAATTGTATTTTGACCATTTCACTCGCGATCTTTCCAAGATGGCCGCCGATATTTATTTTAGCTTTCTTTGTTTTTTTTCCCAAATAAACCCTTATGGCAGTTTTTTCTCAATTTTGAATTGTAAATTCATTATAAACACCTTTTTCTTAAATTAAAAACAGAGATATTCTTAACTACGAAACGTTGTCAAAAATTGGGGGTTTTGGTGAAACAGATCACACAAGGAATTTACTTGAAGACCATTGTGATGTTATGACCGCATAGGCTACTCATAGCACATGTGCACGCATCAATTCAAAAGTGCCACGCTGGTGTAAGATGACGACCGTATACGCACAGTGAGAGCTACACTTGTACTTCCGGGCATGAATTCAAAAGTGCTGCGCTCACAAACGGTCTTTCCAGTATGGCTTCAACTGGATTCTATATATGGCTCTCCATCCTCTATCCAGTCTTTATGTGGAGTTCAGTAGATGCTTCACTAAGCCCACTGGTCTTGTAGAATATGAAAACGACGCCGACTGGGCATTCAGAGAGAATGTTAACTAGAGGGTTTGTCCATCTTCAGGACAGAGCAAAGGGTTTTTTCGCAGTTTTGTTTATTCTTAAGAAAAGGACATTCCTTTATTTGAGATACTACCACATTTGGATTTCTCACTTCTTACTCAAACATCTATCCTACAGCTACAAATAATTCCCAAAGTTTCAAATGATATTTTTGGTGACCTCATTATGACGAAATATTCAAACCCTTTCGAACATTAGAAGATATAACAAATTAAAATGTCCACCCTTTACATCATGCCACCTTGTCTATAATACTTCCCATTCTAGTTATCTACCAAATTTCAACCATATCAGACATGTAGTTTAATATATAGGGCTCTAAAGAATCTAAAGACCCTTACTACATGGGGACTAACAGTGCATAGTCAGTCAGATCGAGAAGATTGCCAGGAACTGGCTGTTGAAATAATGTTCAAAAACTATGGGGGAAATAAAATATTCAATAATCAATAAAATCAGAAGGTGATGTCACCATGACGTCATAAAATTGGCTTATTTTTGTATCAGGATGTTTGTGTGCTGTAGCTTAAATGACAATTAAAGATCGCCAAATAACTGAAATGGTGCCTTGAAAACATGCACAAAGTCAACGGGCTAAATACACCTATGAAGAAAAACTGCTCCTTTAAACTCATTTCACGTGATTTGCGTTTAAACTGAAAAAAATTTCTGAAATATTACTTGATATTTTGACTCCAGGGTATATTTGTAATCGAATGGAAGGGAAAATTAGTCTGACTCTCTTTTGTTCTGGTAGTAATTCTTGATCGAAGCCGAGGACTGCTCACTCATTAAGCTCGATAAAAGTGTGGTAGAAAATGTGCACAAAGCCTATGGAGGAAAACTGCAGCTTTAATCTCATGTCACGTGATCCCTAATGATGTCATTATGACCATTGTGTCCTAGGGCCCTCTCTACATAATGGACTACAAGTGTACACAATTATGAAATCAATTAGATTGACCCAATTAGATTAGAGTCCCGAAGTCTGGCTTTTGCCAAACGTGTACAAAACCTAAGGGGAAAGTTAAATATTCAAAAATAAATTAAAAAAATTAACAAAAACAAAAATTAATTCAAATTGAGGTCGTCATGATGAAGTCGTCAATTTGAATTGATTTTTGTACCAGGGTCTTTGCTGGCTGTAACTTTGATGACAATTGAAGAACGCCATATTACCAAAATAGTGCCACGAAAACGTGTACAAAGTCAATGGGCTGAGATAAATATTTAAACTTTTCCAGATAGTACCCCACTTGAGTGCACCTTAAACTTGATGTTGCTGTTGATCTTCATTTTGTTCCTGTTAATATGGGGCCTGGGCCAGCGGAAGAGGGGCCAGTGGGTGCTTGAACGAGAGCTTGCGCCAGATCCAAACTTAGTGGTTTTAGCTGTAGCTGTTGAAGCAGTTGAGGTTGTGCCATGGTCTGCCTAGTCGCCGACGTCCGGCAGGGTTACTTGGAGCAGCGAAGCGCATATCAGTCTGTCTTTGGTCGCGAAATCTGTAAGATACAATGGCATACGTACGCGTGACTTTATATCATAAATCATACGTTGTCCCAATATTAAGCGGATGTTACAGGTTTTAAGCGAAAGATTTGTCTACTGTTATTTTTTTCTGTCAAGGTCTATAAAGGACTAACCTTTGAATATCTCTCACAATTAGGCCTACCTCTCGGACACGTTTTTTCAACTGCGTGTTGTTTCTCTGGAGGTAATATCTTGCAAGATTACTGTTTGGATCCATATTTTGTATGACATGGTCAACTACACGCTCCCAATGGTTTCCGTGCATCTCATAACCTTGTAAACTCAGGCGCCGTTCGACCCCATTGATGTTAAGTCTAGCATTGGCTGTCAATTTGGAAACGTTTGCAGCAGCATTCGAAAATCAAAAACGACATTTAAAAGGTTAAGGCTGTTGCCATTTATAATAGAAACACAGCTGCCTTATATACAAATCCCCTAAAGGACACAAAGTTAAGTAAGTATTCCCCAAGGACGCAAAGTTACGTAAGTATCCCCCAAAGATGCAAAGATACATACATTACTTTTGTCAGGACTCAGTCATCGTCTTTTCAAAAGACGTAAGTTTAGGTCTGTGGGACCTCAGTTGCCTAGTTTAGAAATGTCAACAAAAACCACATCATAATCGCTCGTTACTTTTATCTGAACTTATTCCTACGTCTTTTCAAATTCACTAAAGTGCTTGGGAATAGATATGCTACCTTTGCCACATTATTAGCATGCAAATTTTTATAGCCTATACATGTAAACGGCCACCTTAAAAGTCTGTAATGCCCCTTCATAATAATTGTTGAAAAAGGATACCTCACTACACCCTCAGAATCGTGAGTTTGCCATACATTACTCGGGCACTCTCGATAAAGTGACATTTTGTTAATTGTACACAAACCATCGCTACTGATGGTTCGTGCACAAACCGGATTGAGCCAATAAGAAAATGGTGCCGACCAATAAGAGAGCACATAATCCCCGGGCGGGCTCACCCGCCACCTTCGAAAATGACCACGCTCAGCGAGCTCGGTTACACAATGTTACATAATCAGTCACTTCACTCTACTTTCCATGTAATACAAAAAGATAGCAATGGTACATATTTAGTTGATGGTTGAAGACCCCTAAGAAGCATTGCTTGTCGAGTGGAGGACCCATAGACACTTATGACAACACTACACGAACTAGATAATATATTACATTACGAAACAGCCTGCTCATAGCGCTTGCAAAACCTTACAGTCAGCCGAGCACCTGCTCTTTATATGTAACGTTACGTAAGCCCCATCTTGAAGGCCGGTGTAACGGTCTCATATATTCACCGTTGTCGGTTTTCCGGAAGAACGCGTCGGATGAATGGGCACGTTGCCGAAACGTGCTCATTTATCCGGCGTGCTGATTTTTCCGGTTATCGTGCGCTGTGGTCCCGCATTTAGAGGGCGCGGTGGCTTCACGCATACGAAGAAATAATTATGCAGATAAGGCTGGGAGATTGGGGAATTACTCTTTTGACTTTGCCGCTTTCGCACGAGCCTCGGAGCGGTGCATCGTTATACATGCATGGCGAACCATAAGTGCGGACTTAGCAGAAGCACCCACGGTCAACTTACGGTACATGCACATACGCAATCTCGTTCTCATTGGAACGATATTGCAGCACCATACGCTGCTTCCCAACATGCCTTGAGCGATCTTAATTCAAACGCACACGCGGCCAATGTGGTCGAGGTTGTTTGGAACTCAGCACACCCATAAAATTGAACAAAACGGGATTTACTGCGCACACGTTCAGGTGGCTCGGCAGTGCTCGGTTAATGCCCGGAAGTCCGAGCAGGCTAA